GCGGCGCGGAGGGGGGCGGGGCTTCGGGAGAGCCGCCTCGCGATTGGCGGGCGGGGGGGGAGGCGTGGTCAGAACCGTTGAGCGGTGTGGCGAGGGGGTGGAGCTTCGGGGAGGATGCCGCCCTGCGATTGGTGGAGTAAATGAAAGGCGTGGTCTGTAGGTGAGGGGGCGGGATCAGCGTCTCGTGTGTGGGCGGGGCCAAGGGGCCGGATGGGGCCCGGGACCCCCGGGGGGATTCGGGACCCCCGGAGGGGCTGGGGGGGCTCCGGGACCCGCGCGGGGTCACACAGAGGGGCTGGGGGGGTCTGGGAGCCCCATCTGGGGCCCCCGGGGTGGGCTGTTCACCCCCCAGCAGGGGCTGTGCGGGTACGGGGGTCCTCAGGAGGCTTGGGACCCCCCGAAAGGGGTGAGGGTGCTTTGGGAGAGGGGCAAGGCTGGAGGTTGGGGTCTGGAGATGCCGCCAGGGTGGGGTTAGAGGGGAGGAGACCCCCTTGGGGAGGGGTCCGGCCCCGTCCTGCAGCGGCAGGGTTTGGTTAGGGAGGGGGGTGGGCTCTGCTGGGGCTGGGAGGAGGTGGAAGGGATCAACGGGACCCCCAAAAGCTGGGGGCTGGGGTCAAGACCCCTCTGGGGCGGGTGGGAGAAAGGTGCTGTCCTGGGGAGGAACGGGACACTGTCCGGTCACGGCAGGGACACGTTGTCAGGCTGGCACAGAGGAGGAGGAGGAGGAGGAGGAGGAGGAGGAGGGGGAGAAGCCCCGGCCGCCGCTTCCTGCCCGGCTGCGCTACCAAAGATGGTCACGGCTCGCTGGGAGCGGGCGGCGGGGCTCTGCTGACACCTAGCGAGGCTCTGCCGACACCGGCGAGGCTGTGCCGACACCCGGTGATGCTCCGGTGCCACCCGGTGAGGCTGTGCCGCTCCCCGGTGAGGCTGTGCCGACACCGGCGAGGCTGTGCCGACACCCGGTGATGCTCCGGTGCCACCCGGTGAGGCTGTGCCGACACCCGGTGAGGCTGTGCCGACACACACCGGTGATGCTGTGCCGCTCCCGGTGAGGCTCTGCCGACACCCCGGTGATGCTCCGGTGCCACCCGGTGAGGCTGTGCCGACACCGGTTGAGGCTGTGCTGACACCCGGTGAGGCTCTACCGACACCCGGTGATGCTGTGCCGCTCCCGGTGAGGCTGTGCCTCTCCCGGTGAGGCTGTGCCGACACCCCGGTGAGGCTGTGCCGACACCCCGGTGATGCTCCGGTGCCACCCGGTGAGGCTCTGCCTCTCCCGGTGAGGTTCTACCGCTCCCGGTTCCCGCTGCGGCACCCCGAACCCTCCGAGGCTTTGCTCTCCCATCCCGCGGGTCCGGGATGGGAACACCCCGCTCACGGTCCGGGATGGGAGCCCCCCGCTCACGGTCCGGGATGGGAACACCCCGCTCACGGTCCGGGATGGGAGCCCCCCGCTCACGGTCCGGGACGGGAGCCCCCCGCTCACGGTCCGGGATGGGAGCCCCCCGCTCACGGTCCCCCCCCCATTCCCTTGGGGTCCCCCAGCTCTCCCCCTGCCCGGGCAGAGCGCTCGGAGCCCGGCAGACCCCGCTGCTCGCAGCTCCCGAACTCCCCCAAACTCCTTTCTGGTTTTCTCGGCTCGTTCTCCACCTTGCCCACTGTGTCCCGTCCCCGTCAGCATCAGGCGTGGTGCAGAACAGAAAATAAGAATGCCAAATAGAAAATCAGACACCGCCAGTGCCTGTTTTACAGCACCCTGAAAGGCGCGGTAGGGAGGAAGCAGCCAGGTCCTGCCTCGGGGGATCCGGGTGGGCAGCATCCATGGGGAGAGGAAGGAGAAATCCCAGGGAACGGGGAGAGGAGCAAAAAGTAACCTGAGAACGGGGAAGAGGAGAGCGGGGCTGGCCCTGCCCTGCCCCGGCCGGGTCTGCTCCTGGGCTGGCTCCGTAGGGCTGAACGCGGTTCCTGGAGGGATAAAAACCCAATTCTGGAGGGATAAAAATCCAATTCTGGAGGGATAAAAATCCAGTTCCTAGAGGGATAAAAACCCAGTTCCTGGAGGGATAAAAACCCAATTCTGGAGGCATAAAAACCCAGTTCCGGAGGGATAAAACCCCAGTTCCTGGAGGGATAAAAACCCAGTTCCTAGAGAGATAAAAACCCAGTTCCTAGAGGGATAAAAATCCAGTTCTGGAGGGATAAAAATCCAGTTCTGGAGGGATAAAAACCCAGTTCCTGGAGGGATGAAAGCCCAGTTCTGGAGGGATAAAAACCCAGTTCCTGGCACACACAGGAGCAGTGTGTTTCGGTGACCTGGCCTGCTCCATCCCTGCCCCGTGGCTGGTGCCTCATCCCCCTTTTCTCCAAGCACCACGGGAATATTTGCTTCATGTTTCAGCTCTGTTTTGTCTCTGACAGCAGCCTTTGGGTACTTGCAGCCACAGGAGAGCACTTGTCCCTTGTGGTGGGGTGAGGGAGGCACTGCAGCTCAGCTTCATTTTCCCTGGGAAAATGGATTTATGGGGTTTTTTTTGGGGTTTTTTTGGTGTTTTTTTTTTTTTTTTTTTTTTTTTTTCAGCAGGAAATCACGTCACTGCCCCATCGTTTCTGTCCACGTGCAGCAGCCCTGGGGCTGCTAACAAACTTGGGAACGGTGGCTCTTGCAAAATATTAACCAAAGCCCACCAAAACACGTCAGCCTGTGTTTGCAGACGAATGGAGTGACCTCAGCCTGGTGGCACAGACAGGGTGACCCCTGGGGACAGCAGTGACAGCCACCGTGCACAGCTGGCCTGGGTTAACTCTGCTGTCCCCAGGTGGTGACAGAGCCCAGCACTCGTCCCGAGCACAGCCCTGCTCCAGCATTCCTGCTGCTCCTTCCCAGGCTGAGCTGATTTCCACCTGGATCTGTCCCCTGAGCCAGCCTCTCTGGGGACTCTGAGGTGACACCCTGCCTGTGGGAACCTGTTCTTGGCTCAGCTTGAGGTGTTTGGAGCCAACCCTGGGCAATTCCTGCTGCTCCTGGATCCTTCCAGCCCAGGGAAATCCATCCTCTCCACTGGGATATTTCACAAACCCTGCTGCCAGATAAACCCGAGGCTTTTTGGGTTTTTTTTCCTGCAGGTAAGGAGGGGGTTTATTCCTCTCCTTCTGCGAGGAGAGACTCCACACTTCCACTTTTCCCCTGCAGGGTAAATAGACTGTCAGCTCTGGAATTGTCACTCCTGCCTGAGCCACTGAGGTCCTTGGTGCCAGAGGATGGAGCTCTGCAGGTTCATGTGCTGCTTTCTGTTTGATTTTGTCCCCTTTGCAGTCCTCTGCTCCCCTCCTGCACAGGCCCCCCAAGGTCAGGGCTGGCCCAGGAGCCTGTGGGACCCCTCAGCTGGGACCCAGGGCTGATCACACAACTGGGCACACAGCTGGAAATGCCTTTTCCACCTCCTGCCTCTGATTCCCTGCCCCTCACCCGGAGGATGTGGCAATCCTGCCACCCCAGCTCTGCCTGGAGGTGCTTCCCAGCATTTTGATGCATTTTCTCCAGGCCCAAGGTGTGTGTGGATTAAACCAGAGCACAGCTGTAGGTACAGGCAACACCTCCCTGTGTGTTTTTTTTTCCCCACCCATTTCTTCTGCATGCTTGGAGTGAAGCCCTGTGTAACCAAACTGGAGCACAAGCCCTGCTCCCAGGCTGGAGCTCTGCCCAGGGCTCGAGTGTTATCAGCTCTCATGGTCACTTTCCCCCCACACACATCTCATTTTCTTCAAAGCCTCAAACAGAGGAGGCATGCTTAGTGAGCAATATCCAGACCCCAGTTCAAGCTCCTCTGGCTGGTTGCAAAAAACCCAGAGACTCCTCCTCGTGAACTCCACAGAGCCAAAAAAACAAGGAGGCAAAGAATAAAGTGTCCCTTATTTCTGTTGGAACTCTTTGAGAAAAAAACACAAAGGCTCGCAGCAATCTTTGAAAGCCTTGGAGCAGCAGCACTGCCCACACCCCTGAGAGGAGCCAGGTCATGGCCATGGCTGGGATAACTCCTGGCCAGGAGCAGTGCAAGGGCCAGAACATTCCCAACAACCCTGAGCTCTCTTGGCTGGAGCCTTCCTCCTCCTCCTCTTGCAGAGGATGCTCCTGACACCCTCCTGCCCCATCAGAGGGGCTGCAGAGAGAGCTGGCTTTGTCCTCCTGGTGTCCTGCCCTAGGGAGCTCCCCAGACACAGCCATGGGGCCCTGCTGAGCCCAAAACCAGCTCCCATCCCTCATCCCCATCCCTCTGCCTTCTTCCCCAGCCACAGGGGCCCGCTGGAGCATTCCCAGCTGATCCCTCTGGCTATTTTTAAACCCCATCCTCATTCCTGTCCTTTGTACCCAAATGTGGAACAAAGGATGAGCCACATCCTTCCCCCCAAACCCCCCAAACTCTCAGCTCCAGCCCCTGTCCCCTTGGGGACAGAGCAGAGCCAGCACAGGCTGGGATTTCACCCCAGCCATGGATGTGGCTGCTTCCAGCCCCTTTTTCTCCAGTTCCACTTGCTGCTGGAGGTGCTGGGGAGGGCAGGGCTCTGCCCCTTGCTGCTGTGGGAGCAGGGAATGCGAGAGGGGGTATAAATATCCAGGGAGATTAGTGCTCCCCAGCACTCTGCCAGTGTTGAGTGTCACCCACAGCCCACATTCCCTTTCTCTCCGCTCCCCAGCTGCCTCTCCTGTTTCCAGCCTGGAGTTCACCATCCCTGCTGGCAGCACTTTGATTTCATTCCTCCCTCCACCCCCCTCTTGAAAAGGAGGAAATAATGGAGCCTTTGTTGGGTGGCTGCGACACAAGGAGCTGCACGGGGGCAAGGGGCTGAGCACAGCTCCTGCCTGGATTATGGCATTCCTGCACCACGGCTCAGGAAAAGTCAATCCTGCACCCCATGGTGTCTAAAGAGACCCAGGGCTTGCTGACAGCCGTGAAAAACCCCAGATGAGTGAAAAAAGAAATTCTCCACGCCCGCTGCCGACTTCCCCCACTTTTATGTAAATTAATATTAACAGGTCCTCGGGTTTGGGTTCTGTACAGATATATACAAACAGCAAACGGCTCCATATTTACATCATTAAGTTAATTAGGCTGTGTAAAAAAAGCACAGGTCCCACATTAGTGCCCTCTGTAGAGACAGCAGAGGTGAGCTCACGTCCTGGGCGCGGGCACACTGACAGTGTAATGTACACTAACAATCAACTCCAGGCAGGGCACTGGGCACGGCTGATCCAGGCAAAACCATGCCAGCCCGGGCTTCCCTGCCCTCCAGAGCCTGGCAGGGAGAGTGCTTGTCCCTGGTGAGGCAGCACCACGTGTGTAATGTACACTACCAGCGCTCTGTGGGCCCCGTGCAAGCCACGGGACGGGCACAGATCCCGAGTTGGAGGCAGTGGATGCTCCCCACGGCTCCTCCAGCACCTCCAGGGCCACCAGGCTGGGCCAGCCCGGGGGGGACGAGCCCCTGGGGAGCCCCAGCGTGAGCAGCACACCCAGCCTGGGTCACACGATGCTGGCCAGCTCTGTGTTGTCCGACTCCGAGCTGCTGTTGCTCTCCTCCCTGGGGGAAAGAGTTGGGAATGAAGCACGGATTAACCCACAGGAGCAAGGTCTGCAGCCCAGTAATGTCTGCCCTGGGGAACAGGAGCTGCCAGAGGGATGTCAGCACCTCACAAGCAGCTGGGGCGGGTTCCTGCTGATCTCCCAACGCTTCACACCATCCCTTTGGAAGCTGGGATTGGGAAAACAAGTCAGCCCTTCCCTCATGCCACCGCCCACGGGTCCTGGAGGATCCCTGGACAAGCCCCAGTGTGTCCCAACCCGTCTGATCCTGCCCCCACACACACACCCCCACGGGCCGTGCTTGCTGCCTGACGCTCACCTTAAATCCTGCAGGGCTTTCTTGTTTTTGCTCCTCTTCTCCTCGTCGATGGGGTAGAGCTTGAACAGCAGCAGGCTCAGCAGGATCAGCCCCACGGGCACAGCGGACACCAACATCTTCAGGGTGAAGTTCACCTGGCCAGGCTGGGAGCAGCCCCGGGTCTGGTACCCTGCGAAGCTGAGGGTAAGAAAGGCACCTTCAGACAAAGGAAATGGGGTTTGCAGAGGCTCCCTGCTCTCTGTGGGGAGAGCTTTGGGGCAACAGCTGGATTTAGGGCTCATAAATCCCCTCCCAGAGGTTGGGAAGTGCCTCCCTCCCTGTCCCCCCACTCAGCTCCCAGGCAGGAACTCACTCCAGGCTGAGCGTGGAGATGCCCAGGGAGACCCCAGCAGTGAACTTGGTGAAGAAGACATAGAAGGAGAAGAAGATGGCCTCGTGGCCACGGGAGCTGGGGTGCTGCAGCTTGAAGTCGTCGATGACATCTGGCAGCATGGACCTGTGCACAGAGAGGGACGGTGACCACCAGGGCTGGCACAGCAAAGCCACCTCCCCTGTGCCGAGAGCATTTCCCTCAGGAGCCCCACCTGGGGCTGAAAACATGGCCAAAAAAAAAACCTTCTGAGGGTTTTTAAGGCCCCTGGCAGGCTCTGGAAGCCCCTCACACTCACCAGGGCAGGAGGAAGGCGGCCGCCACGCTGATGCCGGCAGCGACGGCCACCACGTAGGTGACAAAGAGGCTACTGTCCAGGACAACCACGGCGATGAGGAAGGGGATGGCAGACTGCAGCGGGGGCAGAGAGCAGGTTGGCATCACCAGGACCTGGCCCAGACCCCCTGGCTTTTCCCCCCTCCCCATATCCCAGCCCTGCAGGGAGCCAGAGGTGCAGCGTCCCTCCCTGAGCCCCACGACACACCCAGGACAGCAAAAACAACAGGAGGAGGACAGGCACCAAATTGTCACTAGCAGCAGCCCCTGCCCAGCTCTGTGCTCTTCTGGGGGAGCTGTGCTCATGCCGTGATCCCCAGGTGCAGCCCACAGCTGAGGGGACACTCACTGAGATGCCCACGTAGACAGCTGTCTTCTTCCCAAAACGGGTCAGGAACCACTGCCAGAAGGGAATGGTCAAGGTGGCCGAGAGCTGTGGGGACACAAGGGTCATGGTGGTGGCTCTCGTCTGCTGGAAAGGCCCTTCCCAGCTCCTGGCACGGCCTCCTCCCATCCCAGTTCCAGCACCTGGGATTGCCACACGCTGGCACGAAGCCACACGTGGCGTGTGGGGCCACCTCCTCCCCCAGAGCAGAGCCCTGGCTCCACACCTGCCCCGACAGAGGGAGGATCTGACTCAACCCTCAGTGCTGGGAAGGGACCTGATCTTGTCCCCAGCCCATGGCGTGGCCAGCAGCCAGGCTCTGTGGGCACCATGGCACCTTGGGCCTTTCCTCCCCGCTGAGGAGAGGGTGGGAAGCGCTTCCAGGAACGAGGCGAGCTGCAAAGAGCTCTCAGGGAGCTGTTTTGCTCCGTGTTCCTGGCACTAAACACTGAGATCCTTTTCTCAACGAGGGGAGGGGAGGGAGACAAGTGGCAGGGTTGGGACAAAAGGCCCCCACGGCTCCTGGTGTCCCCCATCTGTGGCCTGGCTCACAAAGGCCCCGCTGTTCCTGCCAGCCCACCCAGCCTCTCCAGGGCTTTTGGCAGCTTCTTCTCCCTCCCCTTGTCCCAGGGCACCTCTGATCACTGTCCCTGTCCCTCCCCTCAGCCCATGCCAGCGCCCAGGGAGCACCCACTGGACCCCCCCCACAGCCCCAGCCCCCCGAGGGCTGCAGTACAGGGCCGTACCCACCATGATGGCCAGGAGAATGTTCTGGAACTCGTTGCGGAAGCCCAGGGTGTAGGTGCAGAAGAGGGCAAAGTTTCCCTCCAGCAGCTGTGGAAAAGGCAGATGGGGTCAGGGGGGACACGTTTGTCCTGACACAGCCATACCCCCAGCACAGACAGGGGTCAGGGGGGACACGTTTGTCCTCACACAGCCACAATCCCAGCGCAGGCAGGGGTCAGGGGGGACACCCAGCACCCTGAGGGACATGTCTGTCCTCACACAACCATACCCCCAGTGCAGGCAGGGGTCAGGGGGGAGACCCAGAACTCCAGGAGGGACACCCAGCCACCCTGGGGGGACACATCTGTCCTCACACAGCCATACCCCCAGCACAGACAGGGGTCAGGAAGGACACACAGCCACCCCAGAGGGACATGTCTGTCCCCACACAGCTGTGCCCCCAATGCAGGCAGGGGTCAGGGGGGACACATCTGTCCCCACACAGCCACACTCCCAGCACAGACAGGGGTCAGGAGGAACACACAGTCACCCCAGGGGGACATGTCTGTCCCCACACAGCCACACTCCCAGCACAGAGAGAGGAAGAAAGCAGCCATTGACCGAGGGCACGAGGCCACATCCTCTGCCCGGGGCAGCTCTGGCTCACCCACCACGTGCCCCCAGCCCCTGGGATTGTCCCCACAGTCACCCCCACTGCTGCTCCCTGTCCCCTGCTCCCTGTCCCCAGCCCTTCCAGCTCACCATGAAGGCCAGAGAGGTGAAGAGGAAGCCAGCGATGAGCTTGATGTAGGGCCCATGATTCATCACCAGCTTCAGCCCCTGGAAGAAGGAGACAGGCTCGTCCGACTGCAGCTCACAGGACTCTGGGGAGCAGAGATCAGCCCAGCGTTAGAGCCCCCCCAAAACAGCACCCCTGGGTGCCCCATCCCCCTGCTCAGCACCCTCCACAAGCCCTGACCACCCACAGCATCCCAGCCCCATGGAGCAGCTGATTCCCCCAGGATAAGCAGGGAGAAGGAAGGACAGAAGTTTGGATATCACATCCCCCTGAGATGCCCTGGTTGGCACTGGCAACCTTGGCCAGCCAAAAATGGGTGAGATAAAGGTTATCTAACAGACCCCAGAGGTGCTCTGGCCTCGTGCAGCACCTCCCCAGACCCAGAGCTCAGCTCCACCTGCCCCTCTCCTTGGGGAGAGCCACAAATGAGGGGCCAAAAGCTCAGCCAGCCTCCTGGAGAGGAAGGAACAGCAGCATTTCCACCAGTCCTGAGCATTGCAGCCCCTGTGCAGCCTCACCTCTCCTCTCCCTCACGCCCAGCAGCAGGATGAGGGCACAGAGCATGTAGAGCCCCCCGATGACCCCCGCAGCGATCATGTAGGCATTTCTCTGTGCAAGAGAGGGAGCAGCAGTCAGGGCAGGGGCTCAGCCTGGGGAGGGGGCTCAGCCCTGCAGCCAGGGGAGGGGGCTCAGCCCTGCAGCCAGGGGAGGGGGCTCAGCCAGGGGGAAGGGGGCTCATCCCTGCAGCCTAGGGAAGGGGCTCAGCCAGGGGAGGGGGCTCATCTCTGCAGCCTAGGGAAGGGGCTCAGCCCTGCAGCCAGGGGGAAGGGGCTCAGCCAGGGGAGGGGGCTCAGCCCTGCAGCCAGGGGAGGGGGCTCAGCCAGGGGGAAGGGGCTCAGCCCTGCAGCCAGGGGAGGGGGCTCAGCCAGGGGGAAGGGGCTCAGCCCTGCAGCCAGGGGAGGGGGCTCAGCCAGGGGGAAGGGGCTCAGCCCTGCAGCCAGGGGAGGGGGCTCAGCCAGGGGGAAGGGGCTCAGCCCTGCAGCCAGGGGAGGGGGCTCAGCCAGGGGGAAGGGGCTCAGCCCTGCAGCCAGGGGAGGGGGCTCAGCCCCTGCAGCCAGGGGAGGGGGCTCAGCCCCTGCCCCAAGGAAGGCACACAGCAGGGGACCCCCAGCTTACAGTGTCTGTGAGAGACCCGGTGTCGTGGGTCATGTTCAGCTCCTCCATGGCCACCGAGGAGTTGGTCAAGCCGAAGAAGAAGGGGCTCCCCACGCAGGGAGTGTCCACTTTGCAGCCCCTGCAGCCAGGGGGAAGGGGCTCAGCCTGGGGAGGGGGCTCAGCCCCTGCAGCCAGGGGGAAGGGGCTCAGCCAGGGGAGGGGGCTCAGCCCCTGCAGCCAGGGGAGGGGGCTCAGCCAGGGGGAAGGAGCTCAGCCCTGCAGCCAAGGGAGGGGGCTCAGCCCCTGCAGCCAGGGGAGGGGGCTCAGCCCCTGCAGCCAGGGGAGGGGGCTCAGCCCCTGCCCCAAGGAAGGCACACAGCAGGGGACCCCCAGCTTACAGTGTCTGTGAGAGACCCGGTGTCGTGGGTCATGTTCAGCTCCTCCATGGCCACCGAGGAGTTGGTCAAGCCGAAGAAGAAGGGGCTCCCCACGCAGGGAGTGTCCACTTTGCCAACGATCTGGCCCTGGATGGCAGTGCCCAGCACGGTGCCCAGAACCTCCACGGTCATTCCTGCAGGGAGAGGACAGCAGGGCTGAGCACAGCCCCTGTCCATGGCAGGGCATCCCCAGCTGGGATCCACTGCCCTTCCCGGGGAGAAATGTCCAAATCCCCAAGGAAAAAGAAAGGGGGGAGGAAAAGAAAGAAAGAAAGTGGGGAGGAAAAGAAAGAAAGAAAGGGGGGAGGAAAAGAAATGGGAGCTCTCACGGTAGGCAGTGGCCGAGTCCCGCTCGCTCTGCTCCCTGCTGATGAACATGGTGAGTGCTGAGTAAGGCACGTGGAAGCACTGCAATGGCACAAGGAGAATTGGCTCAGGGAGGATGTCACAGCCCGAGGGACCTGGGGCAGGGTGGTTTCTGCCCCTCTGTGCAGCTCAGGGGTTGGCAGGGCTTGGCAGCCTCCGTGCCAGGTGTGAGCAGAGCCTGACTCACCGTCACGAGGGTCTGGAAGGCACAGTAGAAGACAAGATACCACATCACTTGTCCTGTGGAGATGTCTGGCACAAACCAGATGAGGAAGTAGGAGATGATGGCAAAAGGGGTGGAGAACATGATCCTTTGAGAGAACAAAGTGTCAGCCTTGTGGGCACAGCCTGAGCAGCCCAGCTCTGCCTGCTTCCACACATCCCATGGGGTTCAGGCATCTCCTCTGGGGGCTCCTGAGCTGCCCAGATCCAAACCAGGGCTGGAGGCAGCAGGTCAGGTGTTGCAGGGTCAGAAGAGCTGACTCAGAGTTCCAGGGAAGAGCTTTCCTTGCACTAACAGAGGTGTCTCCTTCCACAGAAGTGATTGATCTGCTCTTGCCTTGGGCTTCCACCCCCAGTCCTGACCTCTCCCCCAGGCAGCACTGCTGTGTTCAGCAGGATGTAATCACCCCCCTCATCCTGGCAAGGGCTGGGGAGCAGCTGGGGAGCAGCCAGGCAGCTCAGCCCTGCTCCCCAGCAGCCAAAAACCTCTCACCAGCTTGGCTTTGCTGCCAAGGCCCCCCAAGCCCTGCTCTGCTGGCAGCAGTGGAGCAAACCAGCAGCAGGCTGGCTCCTTCCTCCACCTCTGCCCAGCCCTTGCAGAGCTGCAGGAGCAGGGACATGGGATGCAAAATGCAACAGAGGATCAGAGGGGACTGCTAAAGCACTGGGCCTTGGCAGCAATTCCTGCAGGATCTGCCAGCAAGGGCATCTGCCCTCTTCATACCGTGGGTCTCATAACCCCTGTCCTGCTGCAGGACAGCCAGGGCAGAGCTCTGCCCTGCTCCAGCACCCCGGGGACACCACAGGCACCCAGGGCCCCCCATCACTCAGGGGAGGAGGGGAGAAGGAAGGAGGGAAGCGAGCCAGGTGCTGAGGTTAGACCCACATCTGTTCAGGAGATGGATTCTGCTGGGGATTTGCGAGCACCTTGAGCTCCACAAACCCCAGGGCAGAGGCTGTGAGGTCCTGGAGCGAGTCCAGCAGAACTGGACATGAGACAGAGCCACTCACGGCCCGAGCTGGCCCTTCCCTGCCAGGGAACAGCGAGATCTTTCCGTCTGGGCTGACGTACAGGACGCAAAGCTTACACTGAAAGTCGGGGAGGGAGCGGGGAGAGCGAGAAACAGAAACTCCATGGATGGAGAGCAGCGACAGAGGCTGCACAGGACCCAACACATGCACATTTTTCCACACCCACGTCACCCTGCCGGGGAAGGAGGGGGGAGGAAAGCGCCGAGCAGCTCCAGCCCCTCCTGCTGCAGCTTATCTGCCCTCCCATACGCCGAGCTGAGCCGAGGGAAACGCGGAGCCAAACGCTGAATGAAACCACCAGAACAGAACCGCGTCACGCTCGCCATCCCGTGAGCGTCAGATGCACCGATTCCCCCCGGCACCGGGCAGCTGAGCCCCGGCCAGGGCTGACCACAGCTCCTGGCAGGCAGGAGAGTGACTGAGAGTAACCCCTGACCCAGGGCGAGGTGATTAAGGAGCTCGGAGGAGGCTGAGGCTGTGACGTGCCCCGGCGCTCATTGGCCCCGCCGGATGGTGTGTTCCTTTGTGCCGCTCGCACACCCCTTCCCAGCCGGCCCGAGCTGCTGCCAAAAGGCTGCAGGAGGTCAAAGGCAGGGGTTTCTCACTCGCAGACACCTCAAGGAAAAGTTCAGCCAGCGGGAAGTCCGCTGTGGTCAAGGAAATGCGGATCCCGGCTCAGAGCTGGGGATGGGGTGACGTCCACGAGGCTGGGGGAAAAGGAGGAAGCAGACAGCGGATGAGCTGGTGGATGGAAGTGTGCCAAAAATGCGTTTCAAAGAGAGAGGGCTGAAAGGGAGAGAGGTGGTGGCCCTCAAGGAAGGTGTCCTCTCCCTTCCAAGGAACTGGAACGGCCACAAGCTTTGTGCTGAAGCCAGCTGGGCTTGGTCCCAGAGATCAGCCCGGCAATAAACCCTCACACATGGCAGGGTCACCTCGCAGGTGTTGAGGTTTGGGGGTCAGACAGCAGCCTTGAGACCACCCCAGTGCCTGCAGCTCCTGGCTTTGCAGGCAGGGAAACTGAGGCAGCCACAGCAGCAATACCAGCCCGGGGCTGGCAGAGCCAGAAAAACCTGGGGTTTAAGAGGTTTAAAATCAGCTCGACTCCATCCAAATTGGGCTCAGCGGGCAGCCCTTGAGCCATGCACAATAGCAGCGAGCTGCGGCCGCCCCGGAGGGGCCCAGCACAAGCAGAAAGCTCTGGCTAATTTTAACGAAGCAGGAGCTGCTGGGAGGAATGCAGCCACTTCAGTCCCACCCCCTGCCTCGAGATTAGGGCGAGCGGAGCCATCCCCGTGGCTGCCCCGCACGCCCAGCCTGCCCCGCGCTAATCTCCGGACCCCAGACCCTGCTGCAGGCAGGGAGAAGCTATTTCAGGCCACGTGTGTGGAGCCTGCCTTCAACAACTGCCTGCTGCTGCCCAGAGCTATTCCAGGAAAGCAGAGGGTATAATTCTGCGGGGGAAAGCACTGCGTCCCTCCAGCTCCACTCCCCCCGTGCCCACCCTCTCTGTGTTTCGGCCATCCCACAGGCACACGAGGTTATTTTAGCCACCCTGTCCCCAGCCAGGCATTAAAGCTCCACATCCCGTGCAGGAACAGGTGCTCAGGGATGTCCTAAGCCCGCCCCGGGTGCAGGCACGAGCCATGTGGGGGCTCACAAAGCCCATCCCATCCGCTCCCAAGGGCAGAGGGAGCACCCAGTGCAGACACACAGATCCAGGACAGCTGTTCCCCTGCCCGGGGAGGACCCTCGTGACTGTCAGCCGGCGCTTCCACCACCACAGATCTGTCAAACACACCCCCAAGCCCTCTTCCCTGTGGTGCCACCTGCTCTGGTTGCCACCCTGCAGCCACGACAGGAACAAAGTCCACCACGGTGGCAGGGACGTTGGAGTTTGCAGGTGCAGTGACATTGAGGTCAGCCTGGGAGCAGCAAGAGCAACAGGCACAAACTCGAGGCCACCCAGCTGTCAGTGGCACCTGGGGCTTTTTGGAGCTCTTGGCACCACACCTGGGTGAGCCAGGGCGTCAGCACATCCTGCCCTGCACTCCTCATGCCAGGGGATACCCAAAGCTGACTGGAAGAGCTGTGACACAGCAGGCAGGGAATGCAGGGTGCTACCAGCAGCTCCTACCAGGGCATCAGGCGGCCGAAGCGGGTCCAGGAAGTTTTGCTGATGAAGAATCCCACCATGGGGTCCGTGATGGCATCCCACACTCGCCCCGCAAACAGGATGATGGAGGCATAGAAAGCGTCCACCTGCAGGGGGAGGAACTCGTGTCAGGAAATGCAAACCCCCGGTGGTCCCAGCCGCCCTTCCTGACCCCTCAGGACCGTCCCAACCCTACCCACTGTGACCCCACAACCATTTGGGAGCAGTCCCTCGGTCTCTCCCCCTCGTTCAGAGGGATTTGAGGCTCCCAGTACCTCCGAGCGCTGCCCCAGCGCGGGATTCCCACACCCCGGAGCCGAGTGCCCAAACCCAGCACAAGGAAGCCGAGGTGCTCTCCTTCCCCAGCTTCCTTCCCTCCGTGTTTCACACCCGTAGGACGGGCCCTGTGCCCCCCCCAAACAGCCACCACCACCCCGCTTTGTCCCGCACGGCAACAACAGGCGCGGGACCGGCCCGGGAGAAGCCGCAGCCCCCGGGGCACCGCCAAGCCCCGCGCAGCTCCATCCCCGGGGCAAAGCGGCACCGGGAGCTCCGGGAGCCGCAAGCCCCGGCGCCAATCCCGTCCCCCAGCCCTGCCGTACCTGTGCCACGTCCAGGAGGTAGATCTGGAGGAAGAAGCCGAGGGCGCAGCCCGTGATCTGGTACGGAGCCCCCCCGACGGCGTAGCACAGCTTGCTGCACACCGACAGCCGCTCGCGGTTCTCCTGCAACCGGGACCGGTGTTAGCGACCCCCGGGGAGAGCCCCCCGCCCCGAAGCGTCCCGGACCCCCCTCGGCGTGCCCCGGGGCTCACCCTGCGGCGGTGCTGGCGGAGCGCGGGCGGCAGGAGCCCCCCGGCCCCGGGCCGCTCCGCGCCGCCGCCCACGGCCCTGCNTCCTCCTCCTCCTCTTCCTCCTCCTCCTCCTCCTCCTGCTCCGGCCCTTCCCAACGGAGCTGCCCTCCTTGCGTCGCGGTGCTTTCGTTGCCTCGCCTCTGTCCCACATCCCTCCGTTCGCCCATTCTTCATCCTTCAGCCCCCCCACTCCATCCCTGCCCTCCATCCCTGCCCTTCATCCCCTCAGAATGGCAGAACGGTTTGGGTTGGAAGGGGCCTTACAGCCCATCTCATGCCACCTCCTTGCCACCTCGCTGTCACCTCCCAGCCAGGTTGCTCCGGGCCCCGTCCTCCCTGGCCTTGAGCGCTTCCAGGAATGGAGCATCCACCACCTCTCTGGGCAACCTGTGCCAGTGCCCCACCGCCCTCATCGTTAAAAACTTTCCTTGTTTCTCACCGAAATCTCCCCTCTTTCAGTTTAAACCATCACCTCGTGTCCTGCCACAACAGGCCCTGCTAAAAAGGGTGCAGGGGACACTAGCAGTGTCCCCCTCTCTGGATGGCCACATGGACCTCGATGCCAGTCCCTCCCAGCTGCTCCAGGCGCTGTTTGCCCACGTGGGCACACCCAGACCCCGTGTCAGTGTCCTGTCACCGCAGTGACAGCCACCAGCTGCCCTTGGCTCAGGCCAGCAGGGCTCAAAGATCGCCCTGAGCCGAGGCTGTGGAGCAGGGCCGAGCCAGGGGGGCCAGCGTGGCACCAGTGCCATGCCCGGAGTGCCACCTGGAGCTGGGCATGGGGACGGGAACAGGCAGGGAGGACAGGATCTGGGATGCAGCAGGACCTGAGAGATGAGCAGGGTGGGTGGCTCAGCAGCTCCAGGCACTCCCAGGTTTCGGGAGCACTGAGCTGGTGTCACCATTGACTCACAGTTTCTGGCCCCTCATACACCTGCAGTGGGTTCTCCTGGCACTGCCTTGTGTCACAGGGATACCACCCCCTTGGGACTGGGGGCCTGTGTGAGGCTTCAGGGTATCCAAATCAGTGACACAAAAAATCAAGAGAGGAGTTGATAGTTTCTCTTTTCCCCAGGGAAAATCTCTTGCCCAGCAGCAGAGGGGACTCCTGTGGTGGCACTTGACCATGCTCTAGGGACCAGACTCCCCACCTTGTGTGACCCCAGCACCATTACTCTGTTCCCTTTGTCCCGGGGGCTCCTCAGCTCCTGGGAATGCTTTTGGCATTCCTGTCCTTGAGCAGAGCTGCCTCCTGGGCAAACAGGGCTTTAGGGGAACAAAGAGATGGCCTTTGAGACAGAGATTGTGCAGAAAGACCACAGATAGGGGAACCCAGCCTTGCATATGAACAGGAGAAGTAGACACACCAGGATCTCCCTGGATTAGGAGGATTTTCTCCCCCAGATTTGGTATTGCACAATTTCCTGTGGGGGATTTGAGCCCTTCCTCCCTGAGCAGATGCTCTGGGGGATCCCCATGGTGATAAATGATCCACCAAGGGCTGATCCGAGCTGGGATGTCCCTGCAGCAGCTCCTGACAAGCCTGGGGACTCTGGGGACCCACAGGTGGTTGGGCTTGGGCCACTCACAGAGTCACCAGAACCACTTCAGTGACACTACACCAGCCTGGCCTCCACATCCCCCAGCTGGGGACACCACTGGGGGATGGGACCCAAATCCTGGCCCTGGTGACATGGAAGGATGGGGGTTGCAGTGCAGGATGCCATCCCTCCTGCCACCCACACCTGCCTCTGTCACACATCCGGCACAGCCTGGAGCAGGATCTGAGCAAGTGGGAGAGCACCTGAAACCAGACAGCCCTGCCAGGCTGGGCCAGCCCCGACAGGAGGACGGGCTTGGGGGCAAACAGAGACAGGTGATCCCAGAGCTCCTGGGGGGCACAGAGCTGCCTGAGCAGGGGGACAGCAGTGCCTGACACCACAGAGCTTCTCCAGGGCTCAGGGCACCTCCTGCTGTCGGGCAGGGAGTGACAGTGACAAAATGAGTGGAGGGAGTGGAGGCAGCAGGAACCGATGGTGGATTTTCCTCTCCTTTTCTCTGCACTCTCAGAGTGGGTGGCTGCACTCCCAGGGAGCTGGGGCTGGTGTCACCCCGGGGCTGTGGGCACTGTCCCCCTCCCTGTCAGGCTGGGCAGCTCTCAGGGGTGTTCCTGCAGCCCACAGGGGTTTGGTTTGCATTCTGCAAACCTCCAGCCAGACTCCGTGCCTGCTGCCCATCAGCTTCTTGGGGACAAAGGGGACTCATTGCAGGGCTACACGTGGCGTGTCACAAGGCAGAGAGGGACAACATGGGCTAGGATGTATTGGCACAGCCTCTGCTCCCTCCCTGAGCATCCAAGTCTCCCACGGGCATGGCAGAGTGGTTTGAAGGCTGCAGTGGGATGGGGACAGCCAGAGACAGAGCCCAGGACACCCCTGAGACACCTGCCAGGCTCTGGGGGCTGCCCACTGTGGGGAAACCCTCTAGAATCTGGAGTTTCAAAGCCCAGCCCTGCTGGAAGTGAGGCTCCAAAGGGCACAGGGCCACCAGGAGCTGCCCTTGCATCATGTGTGGAGCCGTGCCAGCTGCCAGCAGGGCCACGGCAGCTCCCGCGGGCTGTGCCAGCACCGGGGGCACGCACTCGGCGCTGGCTGGGGACCTGTGCCAGCACCCTGCAGCTGTGGGGCACGGCCAGGGTTATCCTGTCCCTCTGTCGCTGTCACCGCAGGCCCGGGGCTGTCACCCACCGTGTTTGCACAGCCGGTGGCTCTCGGTGCTGTTTGCCCAGCGCCTGGAGGGGCCGGGATCAAAGGGCTCCGCTCCTCCCGGCGCTGCTTCTGCACCTTCAAAGCATCCGGAGCCCCTTGGAGCCGGGACAAGCTCCTGCCTCGCCCTGGGAAAAGCTGGAGCCGTCCCAGAGGCCGCGGGGAGGAAGGAAAGGAGGGAGGAAGGCGACGTGGCCGGGCGCTATAGGCTGGAGTGCGCTCCTGCTGGGACAGGGGCAGTGCCAGCCGCGTCCCCAGCCACGGCCACTTGTCACTGCAGCTGCTGGGACAGCACAAACCTGTGTGGCAGCTCGGTCCCTGCCCTCCGTGCAGGGAGATTTGTTTCCTAAGGGGGAAGAGGGGGCTTCACCCGCGCTTCCCAGGGAGGGAGAAGGGCGGGAGCAGCCCGGAGGTGGCAGGGCTCGGCTGGTGACACCCTGGGGACATCCAGCGTGGCTGGGGACTGGGGATGAAGCTGGGATTGGAGTGCAAAGGGAACATCAGCCTGGACTCCAGCGGGATTCCCAGACCCCGCTGCTCCTGCCCCAGCCCCGCGGGCAGGGTTGGGATGCTCGGGGCTGCTCTGGAAGAGCCAGGAGAGAATTTAGGGCGCTGTGGCCGTGGCGGGGACCCCACAGCCAGGAAACCTCAGCCCGGGCCAGCACTCTCACAGGTGCTGGAGCTGGTAAAGATTTGCAAGGTCCACCGAGCCCCCAGCCAGCCAGGGAAGGGCCGGAGCTGCCCCGGGACACACCGGGACACACCGGGACAGCCGCCAGCGCTGTGCCCGCTGCCAGCCCCGCTCCGCTGCTTGCCCAGTGCCCGCTGGCAATGGGGAAACTGAGGCACGGAGTGATGGGCAGCGCTGTCCCCCGGGTGGGGAGTGCCCGGTGCGGTGTCACCAGCGCGTCCCCGCCCCCGCCGCCCCACGGATGCTGCTCCCGGGTCCAGCAGGTGGCGCCCTGCGCCCGCCGGTGGCGGCGGACGGGGACCGGGACCGGGGGTAACCGGGGGGGACCGGGGGGAGCTGCGATGGACCCGGCTGGGCTGGACTGGGCTTGTCTGTGCTGGGCTGGACTGGGCTGACTGGACTGGACTTTAGTGGGCTGTGCTGGTTCGTGAAGAGCATCGCAGTGCTGGGCTGGACTGGGCTGTACTGGGCTGTACTGGGCTGCACCGGTCGCTGCACCGGGACATTTTCTTCCCTCCAGGGACGGTGCTGCACCCCGGGCACCGGCTCCCAGTCCCCCCGGGGCTGCCGTGTCCTCATCCACACCGGGTGAAGAAAGGAGGCTGCTGGGGCTCGAGTGTGTTCACACACTGTGAGGGGAATCTGCTGGTTCAGGGTGGACTTTGTGCCTCTGTGTGTGTGTGTAAGAATTAAGTGCAAGAGGGAAAGCCCCACTGTGTTTTCACAACATTTATTGTCCTTTCTAGGAGGAACTTGGCATTGGAGAGATGCAGCATCCTGTGCTGCATGGGCAAAATGCTGCTGGTGGGACCTGTGTGTGTCCCAGACACCCCAACTTTCCTCCAGCCCGTGGCTCCTGACATCCCCAGGGCTCCCAACCCCTCCACGGCCCATCCTCTGTGCACAGACCTCGTTCCTCGTGAGCCCTGTGTCCCCTAGCTGCTTTTCTGGTGTCCCCACAGCCCCTTCTTGTTCCAGCCACCTTTTTGCTGGAGTTGATGTCTTCCAGGGTGGAAATACACCCTAGCTTGGCCTGTGAGGGCTTTGGGAAGGAGTGGGGATGTCTCCAGGTGGCATCCAGGGTGTGTCACCCTGAGCTGGACACAAACACTGAGTGACCCCAGTGCTGCCCAGTGCCAGAGCCACTCTCTTGCCTGTGGTGTGAGCTGGGCAGCCCAACAGGAGCTGGGGTGACAGCCAAGCAGACGAGAAAGAGCCCTCAAAAATCATCCCTGGCAGCACAATGATGCCTCCTTGTGACTTGTTCCCTCTTCTCCACTTGGCTTTGCTCGTCCCCGGGCTGGTGGCACAGCTGCGTGTCCCTCCCCAGCGCCTGCAGAGGGGGATCTCCCAAACCCTGCCCCTCCCGGGGGGGCCAAGGACGGCGCTGGGAGCCCCCGGGGCGCTCCTGGGGACAGCGAGGAGCCCCCAGCCCAGCGAACGGGGGGGGCTGCTGGTCCAGAACCCCGTGAGCATCCCCGGTAGCGACACCGGGGACCCTGAGGGGGGCCACACGCCCACCTCACTGCATCCCTTAGAGGGGCGGGGCACATAGCATGACCACGCCCTTTAT